AAATAATTGAAGTAACTGAAATCAGATTGAAATATAATTACATTAAAAGGAAAGTTTATTATTGACAATATAATCATATATGGATTTTAAAATTTTATATTTATCTAGTATTTATTGAATATTTTAAAAATATCATTGAGCATTTATTCAATATTTATTGATAATTTATTGAAAATTATTTAAAGATTTTTTTTTTGAGAATTTTAAAAGATTTATGAGATAAATTTATTTAGAAGTTATTAAAGACTTTAACTAATTTTATAATATAGTAAGAAATAGGATTTCAAATATAAGAATTTATTTTTAAAATGAAATAAACTCTATTTTTCAAATATAAGAATTTTAAATTCTATTTAAAATTTTAATAAATAAATACTAATCTTTTAAAAATATAAACAGTAAATTACATTTATTGATTAAAGTTGTCCAATTATGCCTTTATTAAATAGGCCAGAGTAACCTTTACACTCTATAAATCAATAAAAATTTCATTAATTGTTCTAAAAATAAAATAAAATGCCGTTACGAAAATTGTCCCCTATTATATTATTTTAAGACATAATTATTAAAGTAGTCTTCCCAATCCAATAATTCCTAGTGATTTTTGTTAGTCTTCCTTTTTTTTTCTTTCTTTGTCTAGGCTAAAATTACTTTATTCTGTTTTATTTTTGCTTATTTATTTGTTTATTGATTTACTAGGGGAAATGTTGAACCTTTCCAAGATGTTTGGATTGATGCCTCTTTTGTAATATTGACTCGCACGAGGCATTGAGGTTCAGTTTGCTTGACCCCCTGTATCTTTTATGTTTGTGTGAATGAATTTTCATATTCACCTTTAAAAGATGAAAAATGCTGTAACTTGAAAGACGGTGCAATTTTAGTCTTGCCTAAATGTTTAATTTGGGTCCTAACTACACGTTTTGCCTTTTTTTCAAATGGTACAATTTTGTTCCTGTCACTTGTCTACATGTTTTGCCTTCTTCTAGATCCCTGTATGCGCTTGGCTACACTTTTCTTGGAATGTATTTTTGAACTCACATCCCTAATAGTGATTGCAGCAAATTTGAAAAAAAAAAGCTTAACAGAATTAAAGCTACTAAATAGTTTTTTTTTAAACATAATTAGTTATTTAGTAATTTAAAATTTTAATTTTAATTTTAATTTTAAATTAAAAATTTTAAATTAATAAGTATTTATTCAATCAAGTATTTGTTGGTAAAATTATAAAAAATTATTTAAAAATAAATTTTTTATATTTTTAATATAATTTATGTATTATTTAAATAATTTATATTTTTTATTTAAGACCTGTAATTATGTATACTAACAATAACAAAAA